TCCTCCTCCTCCTCTTCCTCTTCTTCTTCTTCTTCTTCTTCTTCTTCTTCTTCTTCTTCTTCTTCTTCTCCTCCTCCTCCTTCTTCTCCTCCTTCTTCTTCTCCTTCTTCTCCTCCTCCTCCTCCTCATCTTGCAATTAAGGCAAATGTTTCTGTTAGGCCTATGAAGTTTCAGGCCTTTCCCAGATGCTGCTGGATTGGACAAGAGTGCTTGCTTGGGGGGAAAGCCCCCCCACTGATTAGGAGCCCCTTGGGGCTGTCCAGAGTCATCCCGTCCCCATGACAGGTCACCGGTGGTGCTCACCACCCCAGATATCCAGCTGATCATCTCAACCCCCCCCCGGTTGTTTGCCCTGTCGCCCCCTGCAGGTTTCCACGAGAAGGACGGGAAGCAGTACTGCCGCCAGGACTTCTACGAGCTCTTTTCCACCCGCTGCCAGGGATGCAGCCAGGCCATCCTGGAGAACTACATCTCTGCTCTCAACGCCTTGTGGCATCCGGAATGTTTTGTCTGCAGGGTGAGTGTCCGTGTTGTGCATTGGGGCGCTGTGTTGGGTGTAGAGATGTGAAGGCTCCAGAAAAAAACTGGAGAATTCTTTTTGGGGGAAGCCTGGGCTTTCCCCCCTTTTTCCCCCCTGAGGCCCCTCCCCCCCCCCCAACTTTTCAACAGGGAAAAAATTGAAATTTGGAGGTATACTGAAAAAACTCCTATGAAATATTTTCTCTTTTAGAATGAGTGAAATGCTTTTAAAGGTAAGGTGGGCATGCGGTAGACATATACAGCTCTTAAATCCAAGATGCATTTCTGCACCTAGAACGCATACCTGCTCTTCGTGAGGGGAGCATCCAGGATTTTCATTGCTTCTCAACAGTTGTATGCCTCCTGATGTCCTTTTGACCTGACGTGGTTCACTTTTCGCTCAAACCACCAGTGACAACATATACTCACAGACTGGGTAGAAAGTAGCTCATTGCCCTACCTTGCAGGAGGGAGAAAACAGATCAGGAGGCGGTGCAGAAACTGCATCAAAGTCTCAGAGGAACACTGAAAGTTTCATGGAGAACCTAGCGCTCGCTCATCAGATAGCAAAAATTGGGTTGTGTGGGATAAAATAGCGTAGGGTGCATCAGCTTGCAGTTTTCTCTCAGCTATTGGCAGGGGTCATTTCCTGCAGGAGCGCACAGGAGCGGAGCTCCGGTAGTAAAGAGCCCAGGGGGCAGGCACATGCAACAAGCCCCGCCCCCTGCTCCCAGCAGCCCTCAGTCAGAGCAAGAAGCAGCCAGGTAAGCTGCAGAGCCCCCCCCCCCAGCCCCAAACAGTCCAGTGGCACCTTTAAGACCAAGTTTTATTCAGGTACAAGCTCTCCCTCCTCTGCACGTACAGATCTGCATGTTCCCCACCACCAATAGCTAGCAATCCAAAACAGTCCAGTGGAGCCTGAGCGGTGGGTGTTGCCTTCTGACACACTTCCCGTGATGTCAGGGGTGTGGCATATGCAAATGAGTTATGCAAATGAGCTCCTGCACCTCTTTTTCTATGAAATGACCCCAGGCTATTGGGTATATTTGCAGTTTTCCTTGTATAAAACTAAGGCATTTATAACTTTTAAATTCTATAAATGTGTTGAATACAGCAGCTTTGTATGCTAAGTTATAAACGATGCACTTTATGTTGCTCAAGCAGTAAAATTAGGTACTGTCCTATCAAACCTAATTTTACTGCTTGAATGACATAAAATGCATCATTTATAACTTACTTAGCATACAAAGCTGCTGTATTCAACACATATATTAAAATATATATTTAATTTTCCCAAGTTTTTCCCCCTGACAAAAAGGGGGGAGGGTTTCTTCCCCTGAGGCTTCAGAATTTCTGAAAGTTTTACATCTCCTGGTCTGGCATTTGGGCAACCCTGCCTTGTGGATGCTTTTCAGTGGCTAAGCATAGAGAGGAAGGCGATTTCCTCCCTATGTCTGTGAGGACCAGAAACTTGACGGACAAATAGCTGCTCCAAACCATAAGAAGTTAAGAACCCTTTGCCGCATGGATAGTCTGCAAGATAGCAGGGAGGCAGAACCGCAGGGCGGGTGGGAGAGAAAAATGAGAAACGCGGGAAATGCACTTGAAAACATGAGGCCTAGCAACCTGAAGATTACTGCTGTACAAAGAACACGCCGCCTTATAGGCAAGTGTGCCTATTTTCCTGTTTCCTTACACATCTCTCCTTCGCCCCACTCCAGGAGTGCTATACGCCCTTTGTGAACGGAAGTTTCTTTGAGCACGGCGGCCGCCCCTTCTGCGAGATCCACTACCACAAGCAGCGCGGCTCGCTCTGTTCGGGCTGCGAGAAGCCCATCACCGGCCGCTGCATCACCGCCATGGCCCGCAAGTTCCACCCGGAGCACTTCGTCTGCGCCTTCTGCCTCAAGCAGCTCAACAAAGGCACCTTCAAAGAGCAGAACGACAAGCCCTACTGCCATCCGTGCTTCATCAAGCTCTTCGGGTGACAGGGAGGCGCCTCAGCCCTGCCGGGGCCAAGCCACACCTGCTTCCAACGTGGGAAGGGGGGAGGGCCCACAGACCTCAGCCTTTTACTCAGCCACGCCCCTTCCCTTTGTGGGAGGGGCCTGTGCCTTATGGGCTCCGCCCCGTGCCGCTGGAGCCACCACACCATTGCCAAAGCCACACCTCTAGATAGAGCCACGCGCAAAGCAAGCAAGGTGAGAAGCAGGATTTATCTGTGCCTCCCGTTCTACTCAGGAGCTACTCCCTGGTCCCCACACGAGCACCCCAGTCTCGACCCCCACCCTCATCACATGCTGCTTTAAGCCACACCTCCACAAAGCCACCCTTTCTGACAGGAGGCAGTGCCTTAAGCCACACCCCCACGACCAGCTGGTGATGTCATCAGGGTAGGAGGCAGGGACTTAAAGAAGCCACACCTTCCCACAACTCTACTCAGTACCATGGAATGGGGGCATACCTGAGCCACCCTTCCCTGGCAACACCTACTGCAGAAGTCACAGAGCTATTCAGGGTGGAACTGGGGCCAACGTCACTTCCTGGTTCCCTCGTCTGCCTTATCGTTCCCGGGGGCTGCTAGACACCCCTCTGGAGCAACCTTAAAGCTAGGGTTGCCAACTCTGGAGTGGGAAATTCCTGGAGCTCTGGGGGTGGAGTCTGGGGAGGGCGGGGTTTGGGGGAAGGGAGGGACCTCAGCGAGGCATAATGCCACGCAGCCCACCCTCCAAAGCAGCCATTTTCTCCAGGGGAGCTGATCGTTGACATCTGGAGATCAGTTGCAATTCTGGAAGATCTCCAGGTCCCACCTGGAGGCTGGCAACCCTCCTTATACTGTCCTGACACTAAAATGGTTAAGGGCTGGGCGGGGGTGGGGTAGGCAGGAAGGAGATAGCTTCCCTCACTCTTTTTTGCCAGGATTTAGGGTGGGTTTCTGTGAAAACATCATGGATCCTGGGTTATGTGGGTGGTTAGAAGGACCAGAGCGGAGCTTTCCTTCTGTCGGGGCTCCTAAGGGATCAGTTCGGAGCAGAGCTTCTCTCACGTAGGGCGAATGACCGGCTGGTTTTGAGGAACGCTATGTGGTACATTTCCCCCTCGCAGGCTGTGGTTGAACAAGTCCTGGATTGCGTGTGGCAGAAACAGCATTTTTTTTAAAAAAAAAAAAAAAACTGGGTGGGGGAGAGGAAGGGGAGTGGGACGACTGCGTATGCCACAGTTTTGACTTCGCTCGCCGGCTGACCAAAACAACAGAGAATGGCGTTTTGTGTTTCTGTTATCCCATTGGAGCCCAGGGACTCTGATTCTGCCCCCAGAATTCCATGCTAACCTTCTACCCCTTCACTGCTGTACATTATATAATAAAATTCACGTATTAAAAAAAAAAGAAAACCTGTCAAGGTATTGTGTCGCTGTGTAGAGAGGCCTCTGTTGAGAATGTGTACACACCTAAGGGGTTGGTAAGAACAAGGGAGTGTCACACTTTTAATGGTCCGAGGCTGTGGTCTTTCAATGCCTTCCTTCCCAGTGCAAATCAGCCAGGCTAAAGTTGGTTCCTTACTCAGTGGGTGCGTTCAGACGGGCCATTTAAGCCGGCATAAACTGCTCCGGTTGGAACCGGAACAGTTTGATCCGGAAGAAACGCGATCACACTCACCTCCTGACTGCGCAGCACATCGTGATATGCCCGTTCACACTACCGACGCACAGCAGCGCGCATCGGTGGGTTTTAATTATTTTTTTTTACATTTTGCAGCAGCGCGCGTCGGCGGGTTTTAATTTTTTATTTTTATTTTGCACATGCGCATAGGCAGCCATCCACAGAGTTGAGATCTTCACGCAGGCGCAGAACACCCTGTTCCGAAAAGCGTACCCTGAAGCGAAGACTTCCCTTTAAACGTTTACAGCAAAAAGGGCCTCTGTGAGGTCCCGGACTCGTCCGCAGCCTAAAACGAAGCATCTTTTTAAAAAAACAAACGCCGGGGCGAAGCTTTGCCCAAGTGCACATCGAGGAGGCTTAAAAAAAAAAATGGCGGCCGAAAAGTGGAAGCCTTGGGCTTCCGAACGGAAGTGGCTCTACACCAGCGGAGAGCAA